ACTTTTTCAGCCGCCGAACGGTAGACCGCCGCCGCCGGACGGTAGACCGCCTCGGCCAGTTGAATATGCAGCCTCCAGTTCTCCACTCTGGCGCCACTTTGGCAGACGAGCGCCGGCAGATGCCCTCGCGGCCTGCCGGCGAGCGTCCGTCCGGCGAGAACGCGCGCCATAATGGACGTGTGGCTGTCTGGCGAAAACTCGCTCTCGAGAGCCAATCAAAAAGCAAACAACCAAACAACTCTAACACTCACACGTAAAGAATTCTACGAATACAAGCCCCTCTCACAGCAGACTGGCACGAACTAGCACCACAAAAGGCACAGCAGACAACGGCCCCTTATGGGCCGTCGAAGAGGCCGTCATACTCAAAAAGAATTCACCGAGGCTTACGACGCACGAGCACTGATTGTCACAATGCTCGGCCTGTCTACCACCACCGCCGCCGCGCTGCTGACGGGGCACACGCTGGTCGCAAAGTCGCTCATGACCGTCCTCTTCCGCGCCAAGATCACTGCCAAGGCGACCGCGAAGCAGGAGGTCGACAAGGTCTGCGCCTCTGAATTCTACAAGCGCGTCCACGCGGCGCAGCTCAACGAGGCGCGGCCTTTCTTCTACTGCGCGCGAGAGAGCGATGCGAATCGGGTTGATGTCTTGCCCGCCGAATGCGCCTTGTCATCGGCCCTCTCTCTCAGGCGGAGTATGCGCCGCTACTCATCGGCGGGCTGCTCTACCTCTCTCTCAAGGGAGTCGAGGCGCCGGTCCTCTGCACCCTCTCCGTCGTCGGCCAGGTGCGTGGTGCCCTCGGCGGTCACTCCAGATACGTCAAAGGCACACCGAGACTCTCATCGCCAGCTCTCAACGCACTCCCCCGTGGCGGTGCTGCCTGTCGGCGACCTGTTCGCGACACGTTTGCAGGTGTGGTACTACTGGCTCCGCGCGTTTGTCGGCCACTCGCACGAGGGAGGCGCGCAGAAACCTCCGAGAATCAAACGAGAGGAGTCTCGCAAGTTGACACTTTCCTTTTGCAATGTGTGTTTGCGACCTGCCGCCGCAGGCATCGACCCACCTCCGTACGTGCCGGGCGCGCTGATGCGCTACGCGGCGCTCGGCATGCTGGCGTACAACATCTACAAGACGGGTTGACGTGGGGCTCCCGCAGAGCAGAGCGGCGTTAGTGGCAGGCGCGGAGGGGCCGGGGGGCAGGGGTCCCAAAGCACTGAGGCGTGCCGTCAGCCTAGACACAGCATTCGCAACCCCTGGGGGCGTGGCATGCACGTGTCCGCAATCGTTACCTTTTGGCCCAACTTATTCAGGTCTCACGGCCTGTGCTCGATAGTGTGTATTATGTGCTGTATCACATAAAAGCCGTATGAGGTACGTTCATCGCAGGACGTGCGCATCGGTATAGAACGGTTTCGCTCGTGCCTCGTGTACGAGTGAAATCTCCGACGTCCGAGAGTGTATACGTGCGATTCGTTTCTATGATCTATCGCCTCCCACCTCCCAGTCCCGTGCCCCGTGTCGTGCGAGGGAGTTGTGTTGTAAAGTTCGTTTCTAGCCACAGTGTTATGACCCCCCCCCATGAACACACCAGTGAGGGAGGGCGAGACGATCGAGGGGTCCCGTACCATGTGCGGAATCGACCCTATCCCGCAGTGCTCAAGTGCTCAATAAAAAAAGAACTGGAGCTGTACTGGACAAATGCTGAATTCCAACCCAACAGAGACATAATAACAATAAATAAAACGGTCAAACTCTGAGACGAGATTGGATTTAGGGACCTGCACGACCTTCGCTTCGTTGAGGGAATCCGTCCCCTCCTCACTGGTGGCACTATGTCCTCTCGGCGCTTATTTCACAGCAGGATGTTTGTCACCGGTGCCGGGGTGGAGCTGGCCTTTATCGTTCTTTACGGTGGGGCGTGCTGGCTTGGCCGTTCAAGGCGCTTTAATTATTTTAGGCTTTTACTGCGTGTGGGACAGCTTCATAGGATTTGCTCGATGCAATGGCGCTTATGTTCCCGCGGTGTGCCCCACGGGACTCCACATTTCCGACTTGAGCAGGCGGACACCCTTGCGATCACTAATCGTCGCGTTGTCAATCCGATCCATGGCCCACGCAGCGGTAAATCCTCTCGCCCCCTCGTGCCAGCGGATGCTCCTCGCGGTCTGGGTGCATGACAGCTTGGTCAGCCCTGCAAGCCCCCCGATAGTCAAGGCATCTGCGTGAGGACCTCTGGTGAGGACCTCTGCACTTGTGAGGTCCTTCTGCTAGTCAAGCTCCTTCAGTTTCGCTGCCAATTTGAGTGCTCTCCGAGAGCGAGGAGAGCAGGTAGTAGTACTCCCCCATCGCCATCACAGACTGGAGGTCCTCAAACGGGCGGGGAGGCCTGGTCAATGCAAGCTGCCTCGGCTGCCGACGCCGCAGAGCGACCTTAAGCAAGCGGTAGAGTCGGCACGACGCACAAACGGACTGACTTGCTCGCACCAGGCGCACACGGGCCTAACTGCTTGCTTGGCTGAGAGTCGGGAGGTCGCAAAAAATCTGTTATGAGAGAATAATGAGGTAAAGGTTAAAATCACAAGGTAAGGGTGTTGGTGCACCAATAAGCCAGCAGCTGAGAGTGGCTAGAATTGTTAGAATACGAGCCTCTCTCACAGCACGCATCTGTCTCGCGTCCACCCATACCGCGTTGGTGTCCAGTCCGAGCCTGACTGTTGTTCATCTTTCTACATACATACATACGGGACTGGCGCGCACTGGCACTAACACAGGAAAGAAACAGCTTCGGTGACGATCACTACACGCACCAAACGACTCTCAAAATCTGTCTTCCACATGCAGATACAAAGCAACAACAAAGCAATTCACCTTGCGATCGTCGCGTTGTCAATCCGCTGGCCCGTTCGGTCAAGAATCCCTAATCCCCTCGTCCCCGCCTCGGTCGTGCGTGCCATCGCTTCGGATGCTCTCCGCGGTCTGCATGACAGCTTGGTCAGCCCTCGCCTGCAGCTCCGCGATGGTCAAGGCTGCGTGAGGACCTCTGCAAGCGGCTTGTGAGTTCCGCACCCGCGAGGTGAGGACCTCTCGTGCACTCGTGAGTTCCTTCTGCAGTCAATCTCGACCATTTTTTCAGTTTTGCTGCCAATTCGAGAGCGAGGCGAGCAGGTAGTAGTAAGTAGAGCTGCCTCCCCCATCGTGGGGTGGGGAGAGGGAGAGGTCCTCACGGGACAGAGGTCCTCACTGGCGGCGAGAGGTCCTCACACAACAGACTGGAGGTCCTCACATGGGCGGGGAGGTCCTGATCAATGCAAGCTGCCTCGGCTGCCGACACCGCAGAGCGACCTTAAGCAAGCGGCAGAGTCGGCACGACGCGCACAAACGGACTGACTTACTCACACCAGTTTCACACGGGTCTAACTGCTTGCTTGGCTGTGAGAGTCGGACGATCGCAAAACCTGTTATGAGAGAAAAATGATGTATACATTAATCTTCAAAAGGGTGCGATGGCCATCTTCCGTGGCAGGAAAGAGGGGGTGAAGGGCTTGCCTCCCGAGTCCTTGAAGGAGGTGACCACGTAGATCTTGTTCATCGTCTTGATGTTGCCGCGCTTCCCCGTCCACGAACCGCCGAAGGTCGAGATGGGCTTAGGTGTTGGAGCACTTGGAGTGCAGTCGGCAGCCTCACATCCAGGGCCGGGGAGCTAAGAAAAAAGAAAGAAAGAAACAGACAGCCCAAGGGAGGGATGGTGTGTGTGTGTACACACACACACACACACACACACACACACACACACACACACACACACACACACACACACACACACACACACACACACACACACACACACACACACACACACACACACACACACACACACACACACACACACACACACACACACACACACACACACACACACACACACACACACCCACACACGGGAGGGATGGGAGCTAAGAAGCGCACCCCGCGCCGGGGGAATTTTTTCTCGTCATCAAGATCTCGGTACTCGCAGAGTGTGGGTAAACGAAAGTACCGTATTCGGTACTATCAAGAAAGACACCGAAAAAAGTCGCCGCGGCAGTCCACGACGAGCCAGCCTGCTGCCGGCTCGCACGGCAGCCTCTTCCTATGGACCAGCCTCGACTTCCATACAGTCAACATTTTGTCGCTGCGTGCTCGTGGTGAGCTGTGGCGGCGGTCGAAGTTCGCCCAGATTCGGTGACGAGCGCCGGACGATAGTACCGCCTCTGTTCGCCCTGTGCATGTCAGGCCAGGCTGCAGCAGGGCACTACCAACGTGCTGCCCTGTTGCAGCCTGACTTTGCCCACTGTGCACAGTCGCCAGAGCACCACCACCGCCCGGCATCGTGTCACGGCGAGCTCCTTCTGCGCCCGCTCGCGAGGCTCTCGCGCTGGCACACTTTGGCCATCTGCTGCTCGCGTTCGGCGAGCTCTTCTCCGCACTCCTGCCACGGTGCCGTCACCACACACCTTCTGGCTGGCCTGAGCCGCGCGGGGTCGCCGGCGGGGGCAACGTGTCGACCTCTCTCTCTGGTGCACCACGGGCCGCAACGGCCTGCGAGCAGCGTGCGCGAGGAGGCAGTGTGCCGGCACAGTCGAGCCGGAGCATCGGGTTCTTGATGCTTCTGGGGTCAAGTTTGACCTTATGTGGTATAATATGCAACAATAATGCTATGCTCTCACCCAGCCTTTTGAGATATGATCCCTCAAAGTCGAATTTTCGTTTACTGGTGACCATAGTACCGTTTGTCTTGTTTGCGTTTCTTCAAACGAATCCTTTAAAGTCTCGACAATCACTCAGCTGCTTATGTGGCACCGCAGAGGCTCCCTTGGGGATGCCTGAGGCCACCCCAACCACTCACCAAGCCGTACGTAGACGAATTGGGCGCTACTTTTTTTGTTTACCCACATTATGCGAGTACGACTGTAGCACGCGTAGGTCAGCTGGTATTCGCTCAGCCAGAAAGACCGTGCATGCAAGTCCTCAAGAAGGCCTGCGCGGGCATCCGAGGCCTCCACCCCGTCGTCAAAATCCTCATCTGCGGCGCAATCGGGCTCGGCGCCGGCCTCGCGCTAGCCTTTACCAACAGCGAGCCGTCTCCAACGTGGCGTGCGGAGTTTCTCGTCTGGTTGGGGATGCCAGGCCAGGCACGCGCTCCAACAGCTCCTCAATCTGCACGCACTCTCTGACACCCGACCCGACTTGTCTCAGCTCTACCTTCGTGCGCTCTCCGCAATGGTCGGCCCGCTCGTCTTTTGCTCGGTTGTGCTCGGATTCGCAGCCCTGGGAGAGATTGGCGCCAGCGGTGGCAAGATCATGAGGGCAGCCTTCGGTCTCTACGTGCTCACGACGTGTGTGGCACTAGCGCAGGCAAGCACCACCCAACCCGTCGCCCCTCACCCCGTCACCCACTCACCCTCCCCTCACATACCCTCTCCGTATGTGCCCTCCTTTTGGTAAATTTAATACCCTCTCCACACCCTCTGGTCAGGGCATCTTCCTCACCCTCATCACTCGGCCAGCATGGGACACGACCGACCAAGGCTCGAACCGAGTCCTCGTGTCTCCCCCCGCCGTCCCGTATGATGCTAAGGACCGGTGTGTCAGCCTGGGCACGGAGGAGCGCCAGTCTCGGAACCAGCTCTCGGAAGCAACCGTCTCGGGAGACCTTCGCGTAGGCGCGTGACCCTCGGATACAAGGACGGCGTCTGGTGCTGCCCGCCGGGCGAGGCGGTGGCGGGCGCCTACCGCTTCACCGCGGCGGAGGCGGCGCGCGTGGACGTGCTCTTCGAGGGCGCCCCCTCCGCTGTCCGCGTGACGGAGCTGTCCTACTACTACCCGGGCATGGTCACCTTTGACTTGCCCGACGCCGTCAGCGGCGGCGGCGACCAGCGGGACGTGTTGGCGGGCCGCACCAACCTGACGCTGTACGATGCGGGAGGCGACGTCGTCCTCTCCTCCGGCCTCGAGGTGACCGGAGGCTCGTCGAGCGAGCGCGGCGCCATCTCGGTCTCGCTCGGGCTGCTCTACGACGTGTGGTGCCGGAACCTTCTAGGAACCTTCTAGGAACCGTCTAGGTCTCGCTCGAGGGGCTGCTCTACGACGTGTGGTGCCGGAACCTTCTAGGAACCTTCTAGGAACCTTCTAGGTCTCGCTCGAGGGGCTGCTCTACGACGTGGTGCCGGACAACCTGGTCGGCATCTTCTACGGGCCGGGCGGCTCCGCCTCCCTCCTCTCGATCATCTCCTTTGGGATCGCCTTTGCGCTCGCCGCGCTCATCCAAGGACGCACACCGGGCTCCACGAGCCTCGTCCTCCCCTTCCTGCAAGAGTTCCTCGACACCCTCATGCACATCATCCTCGGCGTCGTCGCGCTCACGCCGGTCGCCGTCGGCTCGCTCATCCTGCAGGCGGTCGGCCAAAACAGCAGCGACGAGCTGGCCGAGGCCATGTCGTCGCTCGGCATCGTCGTGGCGTGCATCCTCGCGGCGAACCTCTTCCACACCGTCGCCGTGCTGCCCTCGCTCGTGTACTGCGCGAGCCGGCGAAACCCGTACGCCCACCTCAGGGGGATGCTGCGCGCGGCGGGCGTGGCGGCGGGCTCCTCCTCCTCCGCCGTCACGCTGCCGGTGACGATGGAGTGCTGCGAGGGGCTCGGATACGACCCCGCCATCTCGCGTTTCGGCCTCGCCCCCCCCTCGCTCGGCACCTCGCCTCCTCCCCGGTGCAGGTGAGAGACCCGGAGGTGGCCCGAGAGCGTAGGCCTCTCGCTCGGCTGCACAATCTCGATGGACGGCGCGGCGGTGCTGATGTCGGCGGTCACCATCTGGCTCGGCGTCATGGCGGGACAGACATTCACCGCCGCCAAGGTGCCGCGCCACTCATTAGGGTAGCGTTACTAGCCGGGGTAGCGTCACGTTGCTGTCCCCATAGGGCAGCGGCAGTGCTAGTGGCCATGCCGTCCCCGTGCCACACACACTTTTGTGCGTGTCGTCCCTGCCACACCCTTCTAGCTTCGCGGGTGGGTAGAGGCGCGGCGGGGGAGTACTTAGGTGCTCGTCCTCCTCCTCATCGTCGTCCTTTCTTCGATGGGCGCCTCGCCCACGCCCGGTATCATACCCACGATCATACTGATCTTCGGCGCGGTCTACGGCACCGCGGTGCCGCTGCCAGAGGAGAGAGCGAGTTCTCCGTGGCCGCGGCGATGCCCAGCGAGAGGCGTAACGCGAGGGATGTGCTCGAGCTCATAGGAGATCGCGTACGTCGCCGCGGTCGACTGGCTCATCGACCGTTCCGCGACGGTGTGGCCCTTATACACACACACACACACACACGCACGCACGCACGCACTCCACACACGCACGCACGCACGCACGCACGCACGCACGCACGCACGCACGCACACGCACCTCACACGCACGCGCACACACCCACGCACACCGCTCGCGCCTTGCACTGAGCGTCAATGCCGAGGGGCTTCTGTTAGCAGACGTGGAGTCGCGAGGGTGTCGCCCCCCTTGCCCCACCACCCTTGTGGGTGTGGAGACTGACGTGTATCTCACCGTACCCACCTTCCCTTAGGTGACCAACGTGCTCTCCGACTCGTTTGTGGTCTGCATCCTAGACAAGTGGTTCGGCGCCGCTGCGGTAAGTGGTTCGGCAGAGGCGGAGGCCCGGGGACCCTCCTCGGCCGGTGCCTTCGTGAGCCTCGCTGGATTCGGGGCGGTTCGCGCCGAGGCAGCCACAGCCACCAAGAGCGTGCTCGCCGACTTCTTCGCCCTCCACACGTCGCTCTCCAGCCCGCTGCCGCTGTGGCGGCGGCAGCGGCGCGTCATTTCCGGCGGCTCTGCCACCACCGCCACGGTGGAGGCGGAGGCGTTGGACTTGGCGGAGCCGGAGGCGACAGATGGGGCAGTGGCGCCAGAGAACACCCGCGACTTCTCCCATAGCCGCGGGGCGTGAAACACGCCGTGGCGTGCTCTTATCGCGAGCGTACCTTAACCTAGGGTCATGTCTTTGCACCCACGGTGGTGGGCTGCACTGGTTGCAGGCCAGCTCATGCATGGCGATGCATGGCGAGCAGGCGATGATGCTTGCGTAGCGGGTTGTTGCGCATGTTGGCGAGTGTGTGCATGTGCATGTGCATGCACATGTGGCATGTGTCAAATCGAACGCCTTTCCGCAAAAACGAACCACACTCCACACACACATATTTCCCCTCTTTTTTTTCTCTGAGTTCGCTGCACTTTCAGGTCGACGGCCTGCTCGCTTGGTCGACCGGCTCCGACTGGCTTGGCTCCGACCTGCTTGGCTCCGACTAATTCAGCCGCTCCACACGCTTTGCGCTGCCGGCGAGGCATCCTGCAAGCGATGATCACAATCAAGGCCGTGGTGCCGCCCGCACGCGATGCCATGCTGCGCCTGCGCCACCGGGCATCATCCCTCTCCGTCGCTGCGCAATGGAGTCGGAACATGAGCAAGGCGTCGGTGGTAGCCTCGCCGCCGGCCGATGAGAGTGGCTAGAAACGAATTGAGAGTCATAACGCCTAGGCTGCCTCCTACATCCGTCTTGGCGGTGGGAGCTAGGGCGGAGGGGGTGAGGGTAGGGTGATAGGATAACCCATTGCATCACTTCGTCCTCAGCGCGAGGCTTTTTGAATCGTGCGTGTGCGAGAGCCAATTTTTGAAATCTTTTTTCGGGCTGGTAAATTTCCGCGAAGTCCCCTGTCGAGCGAGACACGCTTTTGGCCCAGCGCCAAGCCACCTCAGTCGCGACGACGAGGCTTCTTGCCCTCCTCCTAGTGCTCTGTGCACCGGCCGAAGCCATGCGGACGCGCTTTGTCTGGTGCGCAGCCTCTCTCGCCCTTGCCCTCGGTGGCACCGCCCGAGACAGACTGCAGCAGCACTGTGTGCTGAGCGGGCGCAGCTCTCCTCCTGAGGCCAGCGCCCGCCACGCTGCGCAGGTGGGTGCGCAACGACCTCCGCCTACACGACAACCCTTGCCTCGCCCGCATCCTCGCGCACAAGGGCGAGGCGGAGGCGCGTCGCTCCCGAGACGCTTCCGAGAGCTTCCATGTGGATGCACCATTGCGGAGTCCACGTGGATGCACCGTCCGTCTCACCGCGCATTGCACGAGATCTGCACGCCACGCCACGCCGCGTCACAGCAGCCCGCGACCTGCCCATGTCGCGACCCGCAGGTGTTGCCTGTCTTTTTGTTTGACCCGCGGCAGTACCGGCGCACGGCGCGCGGCTGCGACAAGACGGGCCCCTTCCGCGCCAAGTTCCTGTACGATTCCGTCCTCGACCTGCGCCAGCAGCTGCGCGGCATCGGCAGCGACTTGCTCGTCGGTGTGGGCAAGCCGGAGGAGCTGCTGCCGCGGCTGGTGCGAGATCGAGCCGAGATTGAGCCGAGGTCGAGCCGAGGTCGAGCCGAGGTCGAGCCGAGGTCGAGACTTAGCACACCAGCTACTGGTCCCACACCTGCGGACCTCACACCTGCGGACACCTCGCGCCTGCGGACTGATCGGCCGCTCGTCGACAGGTCGCTCCTCGCGGCGAGGGCGACACGCATACGACGATCCTCTGCCAGGAGCAAGTCACGTCCGAGGAGCTTCGGGTGGACCGCGCGCTCCGCTCGGCGCTGCCGGCGGGGAGCTGCCAGTTCAAGCCCGTGTGGGGCGGCTCGCTGTATGACCGGAGCGAGCTGCCCGCGAGGCAAGCCCTCGATTCCTCGACCCTTCCGTGAGCCTTCTTGGAACCTTCCGGCAGGAGCGAGCTGCCCTACCGGCAAGATCTCTCCGACCTGCCGGACGGCTTCACGCCCTTCCGCAACAAGGCGGGGAGGCCGGTGCCGCGTGGGGACGCCTCATGTGTTCATCGATCCATCCATCCCTTCATTATTGGGCAGGTGGAGAGCCGGTGCGAGGTGCGGGCGCCGATCAAGCGACCGGGCAACGGAGACCTGCCGCTGCCGCCCGCCGACGCGCTGGCGGCGGCGGCGCCTCTCAGCTGCACGGCGCTGCCGCCGTTGCCAGAGATTGGGCTGAGCGAGGCGGCCCTCGGGGAGGCGTCTCGAACCCTGAGGCGTGACGCCGTCCCGCGACCTCTCCCGGACCGTTCCCGGAACCTTCCCGCAGGCGCCGGACCCGCGAGGCGTGATGCCGTTCCCTGGCGGCGAAGCCGCCGCCCTCGCCAGGCACTACCTCGCCATCTCCTTAGCCGCTCCCTGGTACTCCCTTTTCACTCCCCACGCACATCCCCGCCAGGATGAAGCACTACGAGTAGAGCAACTGCCCACCAAATCGCCACCCTCTCCCCACCCACTCCCCACCCTCTCCCCATCAGCTCCCCACCAGCTCCCCACCAGCTCCCCACCAGCTCCCCACCAGCTCCCCACCAGCTCCCCACCAGCTCCCCACCAGCTCCCCCCGCCAGGCTCAAGCACTACCTCTGGGACAGCGACGCCCTCGCCACCTACTTCGAGACGCGCAACGGCATGCTCGGCGCGGACTACTCGTCCAAGTTCGCGCCGTGGCTCGCGCATGGCTGCCTCTCGCCGCGACAGGTGGCGCACGAGTGCCGCAGGTACAGAGTACGAGTAGTAGTCAGCGACTCTTCAAGAAGAACCAACGCCCCTGACGCCGAGCTGCTGCCGCAAGGTACGAGGGCGCACGCGTGCAGAACAAGTCCACGTACTGGATGGTCTTCGAGCTCATCTGGCGCGACTTCTTCAAGCTGTACTGCGCCAAGCACGGCGAGATGCGCCTCGACGGCTCCACCCCACTGCACCTCCACCCCACTCCTCGAGAGAGACTAACCCCCCCGCCCCCTCCCCCCCTCCTACATCCCTCGTGAACTGTCCTGGAACTATCCTGCAGGCGACGCCGTCTTCCTCGAGGGAGGGCCGATCGGGTCGCACCAGTCGTGGCGCTCCGACGCGCAGCTGCTCCAGCGCTGGAAGGATGGCGAGCTCGGCGTGCCGCTCGTCGACGCAAACATGCGCGAGCTCAAGGCGACCGGGTTCATGTCGAACCGCGGGCGGCAAAACGTCGCCTCCTACCTCGCCCTCGACCTGCAGCTCGACTGGCGCGAGGGCGCCGAGCACTTCGAGGCGCTCCTGCTCGACTACGACGTCTGCTCCAACTGGGGCAACTGGGTCTCGGCGGCGGGGCTGACCGGAGGCCGCGTCAACCGCTTCAACATCGTCAAGCAGTCCAAGGACTACGACGCCGACGGCGCCTACGTGCGCCACTGGCTGCCAGAGCTCAAAGATGTGCCGTCGCAGTTTGTGCACGAGCCGTGGAAGATGGGGCGGGCCGAGCAGGAGAGGTTCGGCTGCCGCATCGGGACGCACGGCGACGCCGCCTCCGACTACCCCAACCCGCCAAAGTCGTTCTTCCAGTACGGCGGAGGCGGCGGCGGCGGCAAGGGCGGTGGCGGCAAGGGCGGCGCCGGCAAGGGCGGCGGCCGTGGCAAGGGCGGCGGCCCGAAGGGGCCTGGTTCTGCTGGCCCACGCGGGAATGGCGGGGGCGGCAGGGCGCGTGCCGGGGCGCCGGTGAGGGGGCGCGTTCAACACGCGTACTGAGAGCGCGGTTGCCTCTCGAAAGAACTGTGACCGTGTGTGAGCCGCTGCGCGCCGCCTTGCTTCATCAGGATTTCCCCGCTTGCATCATATCATGGTTTTCGCCATGATATTATGGAGTCATGATATCCGAAAGCTCGGCACGTCATTTTCACGCTCTTGAAATCACACCTTGCGATTTCACACAAGGATCACGCTCTTGAAATCACACCTTGCGATTTCACACAAAGAAATCACGCTCGCCGCTCGGAGCCCGGAGCGATTTCGTTTTGTTTGGTGCCGGTTACTACGGTAAAAATGTATATAGCTGCGCGCGCTTCTACTGTACACGCGGGCGCAACGAACATGGCTAGTACAGCAGAGCACATGCGAGGGCACCGGCGCCGCGACTTCAGACAGGCTGCTACGACTAGTGGAGAGGCAAAGCGTCTATCATGACTCTACATGCGGCGTTGGCAATCGGCGCGCCTATGGTGTGGCCTCGCACCGAAGGTAGTGTACAGTCGTCCCCAACGTCGCGCACCTACAGCCCTCTCCACCCAGACAGACAGGCTGCTACGGCTAGTGGAGGGGCAAATCATGACTCTACATGCGACGTTGGCGATCGGTGCGCCTATGGTGTGGACTCGCACCGAAGGTAGTGTACAAGCGTCCCCAACGTCGCGCGTGCCTACTCTGCTCACTCGGGGCGTGTGGGTGTCGGGGCCGATGCCCGCGTGGAGAGTACCTGCGGGCAGAGAGCAGCGTGCCGATGACGTTGACGTGCTCGTCCTTGGCCGCCGCGTGCAGCGCGGAGTTGGACGCGGGCAGCTGGTCGAGCACGTTGACCCGGAGGAACCGACTGCATGTCGATGTTGGGGCCTGGCGCGGCGCCGGAGTCGCCGAAGTCCGCCCGTCCGTAGCCCTCCTCTGCCTCCGAGAGGGAGCGCGCGTCGCCACCGCCCGAGAGGGAGCCGCGGGCCGGAGACTCGGAGAGGTTGGACAGCTCGCTGTCGTTGCTCTCGCTCGCTCAAGCCGGGCGCGTACGCGTCGTCGCTCAAGTCGGTCATGCCCTGCGACAGACACCACGGGCGTGTATCGAATGAGAGCCGCGTGGCTGGTTGAGCTTCAGGTTTTGCGGGGATATGGCCGGCCGGAAGCTTGCGTCGCCCACTCACGCTGAACGTTTATCACGCATCACACTTCACGGCCAGAAAGGATTTCTTTTTCGCACTGGCACTAACACAGGTCGTGCGAGGGAGTTTCGTTGTAAAATTCTTTTTCGCGCTCTTTCCCACAGCTCTTCTCCTTTATCAATCTATTTCCAGTAGAGTCGTTTTGTCGTTTTGGTGGCCAGGCCGAAGTAGCAGAAGGTATGTATCAACCACCGTGATCTCTATCGACAGGCAAGACTATCCGGCATCGGCAAGGACAGTTGTGTGAGAGTGACATTGCTCATTGGACTCAAGAGTCAAGTTTCTTGTCTTCAACTAGACTGTCGTATGTATGTGTCTGCACGCGTCCGCATGCTAACCTCCATAAGTCTCTGTCCTGACACCGGCAGAGGACCTTGGCCGGCCCTGGTACGGAGCGCCTAGTCCCGGATCACTAGAATGCGCCACAAGCACGCGCCCACTCGCACGTGCAAGGGCATGGAGGTTGATGAGCACCGGTTGATCCTACGTTCCACAGGAGAAACAAGAATAGTGGCGCCGAAGGTAAAGAAAGGACCAAGGGAGCAGGGGTGGGCGTTTCAACTGCGAAAGCAGGCCAAGAAAGGGCAAACTCCGCGCTCGTGCTAAAGGTACACACCTTTGCCCTGATTTTGTTACTGCACGCTGGTGGCAACCATAGGTAGCAGCAGACAAAAATACTTTATCTCTCGGGCTATGGGGCTCCCCCTCTCAGACAAAAATACGACTTATGCTATGGGGCTCCCCTCCTATTAGCTCCCCCTCCCCAGCATGGGATGTATCACGTTGTGAGGTGGGGAGGGATCCCCTGTTCCGTCTGAACACGTGTGTGTTTGCGCTATGTATGATTACTGCAGGTGCAGCGGTCGCGGGTCAGTCGCGGTCCGCGCGGTCCGCGCGGAGCCGCGGCGACGTCCGCACTAACGGATAACGGGGGCCATTGGCGGTTTTCACAGCCTTGTTATTGAGAAGAAAATACCTCCTATGGCGCTGTGCGCTGGCCTGTGAGAGGTTGAGGTGCGAGCCCTGGAGGCCCTGGGGATGGGGGGTTCACACACACACACACACTCGTGCGGGGTAACCCGCGCACGGGAAAGCTTCACGGGTTCGAGCCGTCAAACATTGAGCAGCGGAGGTGTGCCGAGGGGGACCGGGAGGCGGTAAGCCGTCGTCGCCCGGCGCTGCATGCAGCACCGTGGCGAGGGCGCTAAGAGGTTCCTCTTTTCCGCGCCCCCCCCGCAAGGCGCGCGATACACTCACCTCCCCTCCTGGTCGCATGCGCCTCACATCTCGCCAGAGCATAAGCCCTTGGTGTGCGGCGAGACGAGTTTTTTGCCAACACACACACACGGTGGCGGCGTGCCGTTCTCCCATCCCTCCCTGGGTTGTCTGTTTTCTTTCTTTCTTCTCGAGGTTCTCGAGGTGGATATCCTTTGGCCGCGTTGGGTAGCGAGGATTGGTGTAACCCGAGCCACGGAGGCGTGTTTTCGGACGGCCGACCGTCAGTGCACGGAGTTGCCACTTCTCCGACTGCCCCGGCTAGTTCCCGAGGTCGTCGGGTGTGACCCCTTCGTCCCCCGAGACCTAGCGCGGGTGGGTTGGAGGGGCCTCGGAAAGGCGCGCAAGCACGCCCTACTTTCTTTCTTTAAGGGGTGGGAGAAGGACAGGGTCCCCACCTGCGCGAGTCGTTGGCGCCAGTCCCGTGCACGGCGAATTGGAAAATTCTGTCACGTGAATCGTGTCGTGCGAGCGTGCTCTTAAATTCTTTTTTTCGGCGCCACATTCTTTTTGGAGCCCAGCCTGCACATGCCAGCACTCCTCGCCGCCGCGGTCTGGGCGGCCGCTTTTTCGCCCGCCGCCGTCCTCTTCGCGACGGTCGTGGCGCGCCGGCCCGTCCTCGTGGTCCTCGTTTTTCTCTCGGCGTTCGCATGGTCTCGACGCTCCGTCAGCATTGCGCTCTCCCCGCGAGCGACGCAAAACACGCCGCGGTGCTCCCATAGGCTCCTCTCCATCTCCCTCGCCGCCGCCCTTGCCGCGGCGCTGAGGGCGGCGGTGCCCGCTGCCGGCACGTCGGTGGCAGTGGTGGCGGCGGCGGCGGCACTCTGCCAGGAAGGGAGTCGGTACGGCATGTACAGCGCGTACGTCCTCTTCCTCCGCTCGCTGCGCCAGCTGGGCGTGGCCGTCGACACCGGCCCGCCCGCCGCGCACCTGCTCAGCGCCGCCGTGGCGAACGGGGTTGGCATCTGGGCGGCGTACACGCTCGTTCTATACGGCGACGTGCTCTGGCGGTCCAGCCTGCCCGGCAGCCTGTACAGCGACCAGTGCGAGGGGCTCTCCACCTTCGCCGTCGACGCGATGAGCGCGTGCGGCATTGGCCTGGTCAACGTGCTCCTTTCGTGCATCGGCTGGGTCGCCGCCTACCCGCGCCGCTCGCCCGCCCTGGCGGCTACGACAGTCGGCTTGCACGTCGCCGCCACCGCCGCCACCGCACTCAACGCAGGCCCGCGCGGCCTGGCGAAGGACGGCTGCTCCGCCTCGCTGCCCGCCCTCGGCGGCGCCGTCCTCCTCTCCGCCGCCGTCGCCGCCTTCTCCACTCGCGACGGCGGGGCGGCGGCGGCTCGAGACCTCGGGCTCTGCTCCGGCGTCGTCCGCTTCAAGGAGAAAGACGAGCCGCTCCTATCCTCGCAGAGCCGCGCGCACCGCTCCTCCGCGCCGCTCGACGAGCCACCACCCGAGGAGACGACGCGACAGAGGCTGAACCGACCAAGCGCCGCGGCGTCGGGGGACTGAAAGATCACCGAATACTAAGCGAGACGCAACGTGTGACTGAATGGGGGGCGCGCAGGTGGGGGCGCGCGGCCAGGGAGTCGTGATCCACCTGTCGAAAGGGGGAGATAGACAGAACATCAGTTTTTGTGGAAAACACACATCGAGCATCGGGAACGGCTGTGGTGTCCGCGCCGCGTCTCTCTGGCACAGACGGAGCAGCGCGGACCGCGCCAGCGGAGAGCGGTCGCTGCTCCGCCCCTCCGTCGCGCGCGCCGCGCGCGCGCTGCCGCCGCCGCCGCCGCCGCCGCCGCCCCCTCCTCGCCGTCTTCCCCACCCCTACCCTCTGTTGCGTGCACGCGCGCGTCGCGCGCTGCGCGCCCCGCCCCCGCCCGAGCTAGCGTGTGGGGAGAGCGGCATTGTGGCACGGTGCGGAGTGCATTGCCGTTCTTAACGGAGTCGCTTAGGCGGCTCCGGTGGTGAGCCGGTGTGTGTGCCAGTCCGCGCCAGTCCGCGCCCTTGTCGTGCCAGTGTGCTGTGAGAGAGGCTTTTAAGAATTCTTCTTTCCTACATAGGCGACCTATGCACCCACCCAAGCTCGGGATGCGGGGCCGGCCTCGAGGCGCTCCGGCGGCTTACGAGTCCGCGAGCCCTCGGGGTAGATGGCTGGCGGACACGGTCCGCTGTGCCTGTCCGGCAAACTGCAGCCACCGCATAGCCGAGGTCCTAGCGGGACAGGCTGCCGATACCAGAATCTGGCACCATCGCTCCCGCTGTTGCGGCTTAGAACCTTCGACGTTCACAGTGCCAAACCCGAGCCGGCTGTAAACGAACCGGTGTTGGCTGGGTTCCGGCTCCTAGCCGGATAGGGAGGGGGTCTGTCGCCACTGACTCGCGGCAAAACGCCCTACCTACCTACCTATCCCCAGGCCGCGCCGAAGCGAAAAAAAGATGAAAACGCCCTACCTAACTACCTATTGCAGGGCCCTTTTGGGCGAAACAAGACCAGCCTACCTACCTACCTACCTATCTTTAGGGGCCGCTCAGACCCCCTATCCGGCTAGGAGCCGGAACCCTGGACGCCGCATTTGGCGTTTTCTGGGGCGTTTTCACCGCGGAGCCTAACACATCGCGATGTCGCCGTCGCCCTCGCCCTCGCCCACTCTCGTGGGCATCCTGGCTGCCGCAGTAGCCGCCGCCGCCGCCCCGTCTGCCGGACATGTCAACGTCCAGGGGCGCCGACTCGCCGTCCTAGTGCCACCGCTGCGCAACCTGACTGCAGAGACGAACGGCAACTGCGGCCGCTCTGCTTGCAGCAACGAGCGAGAACTGCGCCGCTGCCCGCAGACGTGCGGCGTGGCGCTCGATATCATCGACGAACTGTCCAGTCGCGGCCGGCTGCCTCGCCAGGGCACTCGCCCGGCGCGGCACGAGCTGATAGCAAACCTGCAGAGCAAGGTAGAGGAGCTGACCATCGCCTCTGGTGGCTCGAGGGCGGACGTGCCATTGGCCGTGCACGACGCACTTGTCGACGTCGCGGTGTCCCTCAACGATCAGCGCGCGGCGCACGGCGACCCTCGCCGGCCCGGCTTCGACCAACTCCGAGCCTTCATCTACGCTGCCAGCTCTCCCAGCATTGGCACTGCCAAAAGAAGCGGCTCGGACACGACCGCCCGCCGCACGCTGTTTGCTTCCGTCGTCGGTCCGTCCGACGCACCACCCTCGCCGCCCCTGCCGCTCGAGGCCCGCTGTGCCTCCGTCGGCTGCGTGGCATCGTCGATCAACTCGGCCTTTTCAGCAGTGGAGCAGGCACACTGGTTCGCTTGCACGCACACACGCGCACACGCACGCGCGCATACGCGCACACGCACGCACGCACGCACACACGCGCACACGCACGCGCGCACACGACGCGCACACACGTGCATTTGCGCGCGCACACACACACGCATGCACACATCCAGCTGCTCCTTGCTCTCCGGTCTAGGCGCTCATTGACTCCAACATCACGCTGCCCGCCGTCGCCGAGCGAGCCGCGCTGCTCCTCGATACCCACGTCGGTGAAGTGTGCGCCGAGGCACCAAACCCGACGCTGGCCCTCCGCACGGCGTGCGCCACCGCGCAGGCTGCGATCCGAGCGTGGGTTGACGACAAGTTCCACGAAGAGGTCTACGTCGCACCACCGGGGAGGCGGGGCTTGCGAGACGCACGCCTCCCGCCCGCATCCACGCCGAGCCGCACCCATCTCCGGCGGCTCGAGAGCGCGCCTTGCCCCGACGATTGCGTGGAGAGGGCCCGGGTGCTGCTGCCGGACAACCTTATCGGCCTTCTGCTATCCCGCGTGGTCGCCTCGGCGGTATCTCGGCTGTATCCCGCGTGCATCACGGAGTATAGGCCACATCCTCAACCAGACCATCACGGCTGAGGTTCTCGGCGGGTACATTGGCTACCCGCTCACCGTGATCCTCTCCTACTTGCTCAGCCTGGACGCGTTCTTGGACCAGCCGTACGCGGATGGCTGGACGCCTTGGGCATCCGGAAGGCGCCGCCATTTGGATGTGGGCGGCGCCATCCCAACGGTGCGCGAGTTGATGGCGCGCTACCCAGTGGCGTCGCGCAAGTTTCTCGAGCTCCACGAGGTGGTTGACCGATTCGGCTACAGCAGCGAGCAAGGCCGCACGTACTACGATCAGTACATCTACCTGGACGGCGAGAAGACGATCCCCTTCTTCGACGTCGGCTGGGCCAACAAGTTCATCGCGATGGTGGAGGGCACGTGGGATCGGCTCGGGCGCCACACCTACCGGAAGGTGCCGTCGCTCGGCCGGCACAGTGGCCCCGACTACGAGTTCAGCGTCTCGCCGCTCGAGGACAGGCCGCTGCGCATCGGCGTCCTCAGCGACTGGCCGACTGGCGCTCCGCAGTCGCTGCACGTGCTGCACGAGCTGAAGAAGCAGGCGCCGCGACACTGGGATGAAGAGGCGACGAACGCACTTAGGTTCACGCGTGTGGGTGTGAACAGGCGCCCGACATCGTGATCCACTTGGGCGACACGTACTACTCTGGCACAAGGGCGGAGCAGGAGGCGTTTCTGCACGACCCGATCAAGGCGGTCCTCGGCGAAGCCATCCCGGTGTACCTTGTGCCCGGCAATCACGACTACTACGGCGGCGGCGGGGAGGGCTTCTACCACGTGCTCGACGAGTTTGGCGTGCAGCCGGCCTCCTACTTCACGCTGCGCGGCGCCGGCGTGCAGATCGTCGCGGTGGACACGGGGCTGCTCAACAACCAGGGCGCGCTCCTCCTCCGCGAGGATGGCGGGGTGCGCGAGCGTGACAAATCGTCACAGAGTTCCACGCGCCCCTCTGTAGACTACTCGCCGACGATGATGCCCTTCCTGCCCGACGACCAGATCGACTGGGCGCTGCACCAGATCGAGGTAGGCAGGCAGGCCGGGCTCAAGACCATCTTCATGAGCCACCACCAGGTGGGCCGACGCTCTCTCAAAATTCCGGTGTGGTGCTTTACCCCCCTCCCCCCCTTGTCTTAGTTCTTCTCGCGCGCCGAGAGCGTCGGCGTCGCCAACAACGCCTTTGGCGAGGCGCGGGGAGAAGGCTCGACTGCCATGGACCGCCGCCGCTCACGCCTGCTCCTGTGTGCAGGCGAGGCGCTCACGGGGCCCGACCGGATCCCGGGCCCGCTCAACGTGTACCAGACGAGCGAGTACAGCATCGGCTCCACGGAGCTCGCCGGAGGGCTGAGCAACGACCAGCCGCCAGCGGCAAACACGCGGCTGCTGAACCAGTTCCCTCCCGACGTCCGCGAGTACGTCTCCGCCTTTTACTGGGGCCACGAGCACTCGACGTCCATCTTTGACCGATATGTTGACCTCCCCCTCGAGCCGTGCGAACCGGCCGAGGCTCGCGTCTCCTCACGACGTCCAGCCGTGTGCAGGTCAACATCACGCGCGGGCGGTGCATTGGCAACAGCGGCATCGCCTTCACCACGGACGTCGACCAGTACGCCGTGAACGGCGAGACCGTGTCGGCCCCGTTTGGCGGCCCGCCGCCGCTCCTGCCAAAGGAGAAGGGCGGGTGCGCGCGCGACGGCTGCCGCACCGGCCAAGGCAACACCTTTTGGAACCTCGGCTTCGTGACGTTGGACATCGACGCCGGCGCTCAGCCCAAGATCCTTGCCAAGCACTGGGAGGTGGGTCGCGCCCGCGGGCGGGCGTGGGGGGTGGTGCTCGCTTCACGGCTCTGCTGGTGGATAGGTGCAGCAGGACCAGTCGTACGACTTGGACGCCCTCGGCTCCGTCTACCTGAACGCCAAAGTCTACTTTGAGGAGGAGTACTGAGAGGCGCGCGGCGCGCGAGGGAGGGTAAACGCCGGACGCGGTTGCAGAAACGGCCCGGCTTCGAAGAAGGCCACTGTCTCCGTGTGTGTGGTGGTGTGTGTATGCGTAACGACGCTGCTAGAGATGCCTATCGGGGCCCAGAGATGTACTTCTGATGCCAGGCGTGACCTAGTTAGTGTCCCCAGCTATGGGCGTGTCCACGTTGAAGCCAGGTGTGGTGTGGACGCTAGAATTGCTCCGCCATTGGCATGGAGGCCCCGACCAAGACGACACCGATGGCGATGCGCCGAGAGTCTGTGTGAGTGAGTATTCTTGATACGAACCAGTTGCCTCCATGAACGGCGGCGCTATTCTCGCGAGTCGACTGGTGTCCGAGCCTGGCTGTTCACCTGTTCTTCACCTTTCTACCTACATACCTACCTACCTTGTACCTACCTGGTGTGTGTCGTCGTGGTTTCGTTCGTATCAAGAATACTCACTCACTCACACACTGTCTCCGACGGCTCCTCGGGCCGCCGAAAAGAAAGAAAGAAAGAAAGAAAGAAAACAGACAACCCAAGGGAGGGATGGGAGGACGGCACGCCGCCACCACACAGGGATTTTAAGGAGAGGTGTGTGGTGCGCTAGCCGTCGCCCACCCTAGGGAGTCTGCCTCTTCCTATCTCTCTTCGCAGTCTCTCTCCGATTCTCGCTGCAACCTTCATGCCAAAAGAAAGAATAAATAAATAAATACAACGGACACGCCAAACGAGGGGTGGGAGAAGGACAGGGTCCCCACCTGCACGAGCAGGATCTTGTAAGGACGATCAGGGACACCGGGGAACGGGAGCGGGGAGCGCATCGCGACACGGAGGGGGGCTGGGCAGGGTTCACCCTCACGACAGGGCCCCAGGGATTCCTCTCTCGTATAGGACAGGTTGCACCCGGCGGCACGGGGGCAAGCGCGGGCCTCCTACTGGTTGCGCTCTCCTAGTTCTCCTGCTCCTGACAAGGGACAGCGACAGGCTCGCAGCACGGTGGACTCCCTATCCACTGGCGATCTCTCTCGACTAGCGACCTTCCTCCGACTTCTCACCGGCAGTCTCTTCTACCACAGGCAGACTGACACGTGGGTGGCAGTGGCTGTGATAGGAGTCTCCCACTCTGTGGGCCTCGCTAGAAGTGCGACCCCTGCGCGTGTCCTCGCCCTTGAAGGGGAAGGGGCTGTGTGTCTGTGCATGTGTACAACATGTGTGTGTGTGTGTGTGTGTGTGTGTGTGTGTGTGTGTGTGTGTGTGTGTGTGTGTGTGTGTGTGCTCGCTCGCTCGCTCTCGCGCGCCGCTTGCGCGATCGCGCGCGCGCGCTGCGCGAGCCGCCCTGCCCGCTGCGCTGCTAGGGATGCGCTGCGGGAAGGGCTCGGCGGCCGTTCCTAGAGCTCCTCGTCGCTCCCCTCGTATAGCGAGGGCTCGTTGGACTCGAGGCGTGGACCGCCGTCGTAGGGGGAGCGTGCGGCTCCGCGGGCGACGCTCGCCCAGTCCTTCTTGTTGCTCTTGACCTCGCCGCCGCCGCCGCCGCGGCCGCGGCCGCCGCGCCCGCGCCGCCCGCGGCTTGTGCCCAGCCTGACCGCGCTCGGCATGCGCTCGTAGATAGTGTCCTTGAAGGCGGAGTGGAGGAGCGCCTCGAAGTTGACGCACGGCGCGTAGCGGCAGCGAGCGGCGGTCTTGCACGGGAGGGCGGTCTGGTTGAAGGCCGGGCAGAAGCCGATCCCGTCGCGCGCCGCCATCGCCTTGGCCTTGCCCGCCGCGCGCGCGACCTCGACCTTGTTGTCGACGATGAGGCTCTCGAAGGTCTTCTTCTTGGCGACGTTCGCCGCTGCGGCGCGCCTCTCCTTGCGGAGCGCCTGCGCGGCGCACTGCGCGTCGTGGATGATGTCGGCGTTGGTCAACCCAAATGCGCGGCAGGAGGGGCAGAGTTTGTTGCCGAGGACCTTGACGCACCCGACGTCGAGGCGGAGGGGTCCGCCGACATCGCCGCTCGCGTAGACGTTGGGCAGGACCGGGAGGTTGCAGACGAGGTTCTCGTTCTTCACCTTGAAGAGGATCGAGCCGTCCTTCTCGTCCGACTTCGTGCCCAGGAAGGAGTGGTATCCCTCCTGGATGGAGACCATGTTGCCGAAGTGCTTCTCCAAGAGGGGGGCGAAGTGCTCGATCTGGGCCGCGGTGTCGATGGCGCCGCGCGTGCGTATGGCGAGGAGGCCGTCGGTATCCGTGGTCGCCTGGGTCTCGCGCGCCTCCGCCTGCTTGCCCCACACGGTGGCGTCGAGAGCGGCGAAGGTGATGGTGATGTTGTCTGGCGCTGGGAGCTGTAGGACGCCACCGCCGGCGTACTGCTCGAGGAAGGCGCGTGCCTCGCTCTCGCCGCTGAAGGCGACGCAGATGGCGCGCGACGTGCCGATGATGGGCACGCTGATCGCGCTTGCCTGCTGCGCCTCGCCGCCTGGTGTCTTCTTGATCAATTGGCGCACCTCGGTGACGAGCGCCGTCTTGTTCTGGATGTCCGGGATGTGCGAGCCGTCGCGCGCCGCGAGCGCGACGTGCAGCAGGCGCTTCGTGCCGCGGTCGGTGCCGGCGGCCGCCGCAGCGGCCATCTGTGCGGCGTCCACCATAATGGTGTCGCCTTCTTTGGCGTCGTCGTCGTTGACGCGCGCGCTCGCGAGCTCGCCGTCGAGGCGGCGCTTCACGCCGAGTCTCTGGCCATCATCGGCCTCTTGCGCGCCGTCGCGGCCGCGCGCCGCGCCCTCGGCAGCGGCAGCGTTGAGCACCGGCGGCGGCAGGCCGGCCGAAGCGATCGCCATTCAAGTGAAGCGCCGTTCAAGCTAGGGTCAGTTCCAAAAGAAAGAAAACGCACCGGGAAGCCGTCTCAGTTTTTTTTTCCTTTTTGACGAGACATCATCTCAAACGCGGGAGCGTGCACGCCATCAGCCAGCGCCATCAACAACTATGACTGACTTCTCGAGCCGCCTCTCCAATCTCGCGTCGTCGGGCGCTTTGTGGGCGCCAAAGCTGGTCAGCTCCGAGAGCGAGGAGGCCGCCTTCGGTTTCTCCAGCTGGAACGTCAAGGCGCAGGACTCGAGCCGCGCGAGCGCCGGCGCGCCGCCGCTCCAGACGGACCTCTCCTCCGACATGCAGGCCTTCCGCGATCTGGCGCCGGCGCTGACGCCTTACATCGCGTCCGAAGTCGGCCCGAGGCCGGCCAAGTAGAGGGGCCGCGTCACTCGTGCATGGTTGCGCAAGGCACAACTCCCGGGAGCATCCCCTTGTGTGTGCGCGCCGTTTTTGTGCCGCGCACGCCACGAGTGTACTTTAGGAGCGCGGCAGGACTCTCCTGAGGAGCTGGGTCGGTGCCGCGAGGTGCGGCTGCGAACTTGGCGCGAGCTTGTGCGTATCCCCATTGTGCTGTTTCGAGAGAGCGACTGTGTATGTGCGCGCGTGTGGGTGTGCCGTGGCGACCCACGCATCGATCATCGGGCGTGCTTGCATTCAGAGACAAGTGCTGGCAGGCTTTCATCATATATAGAAGACAGTCTTGACAAAAGAAACGCGCCGCCAGACGAGAGTCGCTGGGGCGCGAGCAAAACGAGAGAACCGTCGAAAAAGCGCGCGCGGCGTGGGGCCGCTGTGCGGGCTGGCAGCTACAGCCGGGCCGCCGCCCCACCGCGACGACGCGAGATGGCATGCTGTCAGCATAGCATGTGATGTCTGCAGCTTCGCGCCTCAGTCCGAGTCATCCGCAGACTCGTCGCTTGCCGGCCGCCGGCGCTGCTGCTGCTGCTGCCGCCTCTTTGCGGCGGACCCGCCGCCCGCAAACATGTCGCGCAGCGCGGGGTTCACCCGCACGCCGTTGTCCATCATCAGCTCGACGTCCTCTGCGAGGGGCGCAGGGGAGAAGAGGTGCGAGCGGCGCAGGGAATGGGAGGCGCGAGGCGAGTCTGTCGACACACGCACAGTGGCGGGGCACAGCGAGGGGGGGGGGGGGGGCTCGCATCTCCACACCCAAGCACGGGGGTCGGGCGGGAGCTCGGCACGGCGGCATGCACAGTGCAGGGCCCCCAAGTCCGCGTGGGGTGTGAGCGGACCTGCAATGCTCTCGGCCTCGGCCCGCCTCTCCTCCTCGGGTTGTCGTTTGGAGGTCAGCAGCTGCGTCAGCAAGTCGGTGTCGCCCCCCCCACCGCCCGCTTCCCCGTTGCCGCCCTCCTCTGCCGCCGCGGCTCGCTTGCCGCCCCCTCCGCCCGGGGCCCGTTTCACTCCCG